TCCTGCTGTCCAGGCACACTCTATCGCCGAGGACCCCTCGCAGGCCAAACTGCAAAGGTGGGTTCCACGATAGAGGACTGTCTCTGTTTTTTCAAAAGTCGACTTTTTGGGTACCTCCCAGGTTTACCATCGGACGTCATCTCTTGCATGAACCCCGTAATGCTGAACCCGCGTCCCCATTAAGGATATCATTGCCCAAGAGTTTAGACCCAACCCAGCACCACCAAAGCAGGTACCCAAAAAGTCGACTTTTTGGGTACTTCCCAGATTTACCATCGGACGTCAGCTCTTGCATGAACCCCGTGACGCGTTGGGTTCTGCGCCCATGGTCTAGGGTACATTCAAATGCCACACGTATCGGCGCCCGGACTTGTGCTGAATCGATCGGTTTCTCCCGGCGACCCAACCCATTACCACCAAGGCAGGTACCCAAAAAGTCGACTCCGCGCCCGGACTTGTGCTGAATCGATCGGTTTCTCCCGGTGACCCAACCCATCACCACCAAAGCAGGTACCCAAAAAGTCGACTTTTTGATTACCTCCCAGATTTACCATCGGACGTCATCTCTTGCATGAACCCCGTGATGCTGAACCCTTCACCCCATAAAAGATATCATTGCCCAAGAGTTGAGACCCATCACCACCAAAGCAGGTAGTACCCAAAAAGTCGACTTTTTGGGTACCTCCCAGATTTACCATACGTGATCTCTTGCATGAACCCCGTGGTGATGATGATGCGTTCGAGTCCGCGTCTATGTCCCTCTGTCCAGGCACACTCTATCGCCGAGGACCCCTCACAGGCCAAACTGCAAAGGTGGGTTCCATGATAGAGGACTGTCTCTGTTTTTTCACGATAATCCTGTCGTTGTCTAAGGGGCCCCGTGTGTGGCCGGGAACACTGGCATACTAGCCAAAGGTTAACAATTTTTGGTGCAAATCTGGGAACCTAAGTCAAGAGGACATGCAAGAAAATTTTTGGAAAAGCACCCTCCCGAATAAACAAAGCCTAGAGCATTCCTAGCATCTAGTCGAAAACGTAACAAAATCTAAGTGCGGCCAAGAGTATTCCTAGGAAAAATCAAGGGCATTGGCCGGGAACACTGGCATAAAATAGGTTAGCCAAAGGTTAACAATTTTGGGGGGAAATCTGGGAACCTAAAGACAAGAGGAAGCGCCAGAAAATTCTGGCAAAAGCATCCAACCGAAAACGTAACAACATCTGGACAAAGCCTAGAGCATTCCTAGGAAAATATTGGAAAAGCCTTTGAAAGTTCCATAGGTTAGCAAAAGGTTACCAATTTTTGGGGGAAATCTGGGAACCTAATAAAAACAAGAGTCAGCGCTAGAAAATTCTAGGAAAAGCATCCAGCCGAAAACAGAACAAAATCCAGACAAAGCCTAGAGCATTCCTAGGAAAATGCTAGATGCAAGCGATGCGCTAGAAAATTCTTGGAAAAGCATCCAGCGAAAACATAACAACATCTAGACAAAGCCTAGAGCATTCCTAGGAAAATGCTAGAAAAGCCTTTGAAAATCCCATAAATCCAACAGAAAACGTGACAAAATCTACGAAAAAGCAAGGGCACTGGCCGGGACCACGCCGCGACCAGCCCGGGATTCGAGCCCAGGACCATTTTGGACCGTGCTTATTTTCCCGCGCGGGTGGAGAGGGTGCCCCAAGATGTAAATCAATTGGGATGGCAGAATCTTGGACAATCCAGGTCGCCATCACGTCGAAATCACGTCAATTCCGGTCGTAATCACGTCGCAATCACGTCAAATCACGTAGCTATCACGTCGCTTTTGGGTCGAGATTCGTCACTGCAACAAAGGTCCGGAGGAGTAGGGGAGGTAAGGTCTAAGGCTAAGGCTACGTCCAAGTCTAAGTCTAAGGCTAAGGCTGGCTAAGGCTAAGGCCTAGTGCTAAGGCTAAGGCTTAAGGCTACGGCTAACATCGACAGTCACGCCTCACCCCACGGTGTGGGGTCGGCGGATATTCCTTTTTCAAACTCGCCAACTCGCCTTTGAATCCGGGCGTTGCAAGTGTAGTATGCAGTTCAGAGCAGAATTAGACACATCTTTCGATCTGTGTTGGTGCCATGCACGGCCTCTTTGCAGGGGAAGCGGGCTACTGTAACTCCTTAGGGGCTTCTGTTGATTTGCTGACGTGCCCCTTTTTGTCCTTGCTCCTCTGTAGAAGGATGAATCGATGAAATCCGATATCCAATGAGTGTTTTGTCTAAGGGGGGCCCAATGCCAGTGGTGCCCATGTCACAAGCAACAAGCTGCTGACATGGTGTATATTTTCGCTGAGTGCTGGTCAGGTGGCAAGCAGCCTCTTTGCGATGAGCTTCCTCACTCCCGGCGAGCGACCCTCGCCTGCCTCAAGCCGCAAAAGGGGTGCCCTTTCTGAGCTGGGCATCATAGGGGCGGAAAGAAATGGTGCAAACTCTGCTCTTTCTGCTCAGGATATGGGATGCTTTGGGTTGCAGCCGGCCGCTTGCAGAAGTTGGGAAGCTTTGGAGACCTTATGAGCTCAGTCACACGCTCAGACTCTGGAGGATCACATCACTCACCCAGGTGCATGCGAGCATATGTGAGCACGATCCCGTTGGAAGCCATCGATGTCTTCCCAATGTCTTCTGTGGGTGCCAGACGGGTGACGTGCCGTAGCTGAGTAGCTGCTAAGACTGCTAAGGGCTGGCCGATGTTTGGACTCCTCGCCCGGCTCTCTGAAGTGATCTTGCTCTCTGGTCAGGCGCTTCTGCATGCGCATGTGCCACATGAGCATGCTGTAGGTCCGGATTGTGTGAGTAGTGGCATGAGTAGTGAGCAATGTCACCAGGAAGATGTGAGTTGCTTGGCGGTGTGCTTTCATGATGTTCGTTGCGCGGATACAAGGCGAGGCCAATGGACAACCAATGTCTTGGAGAGAAGCCAGTCCAAGAGTGTGGACCTTGGAATGTGCATGAGGGCTGAAGCCAGTAGTGTGACCTTATATGATGCTGGTTGCATAATACTGTGTCGTAGGGGTCGGCATGGGTTGACTATCAGTCCCCTTTACTCATGGGGGGGCGATTGGATGCGATTGGCATTATTTAGCATCCTTGTCCAGTGAGCTGTATACTTGAATTCATTTTATGAGCTTCAATATTTCAGGTTGTGGTCGAAGAGTGGCTTCAATAATCAGTTCAGAAGAGCAAGGGGGGGCCGATCAATTCCAGCGTGTCGGGGACATGTCCTGACCCTTCTCCGCCGGCCGAGGCATTTGCAGAGATTGCGCTTGGAGCTTTTCCGTCGCCTCAGCGAGCGGCGTAGCATCCCGGACGCCCTGGCACGAAAGGTGATTGTCGCAGACTCAGCTGCGCAGCACAGTACTTCGAACGGGGTTTCCCAGCGTCCTGCCACAAGCAAAGAGGGTTTCCCAGCGTCCTGCCACAAGCAGAGAGTTGTTTGACCACGTGTTCTATGCACCAGAGATGACTCCTTTGGATATTTCCATTTTTGTTCCAGGCTGCAGTGGAGCGGCTGGAACCCAGGGAGCAACGCCAGGAAGCAACCTCACCAGGTTGGACAGTTGGACGAGACGATATTCAGCAGTTCTCCCAATTCTTCCGACAGCACTGGAGCAGAATGCAAATATGAATCTCCGGACTGGAATGGCAAACATATTCCACTTCGACCCATGTATTTTGCAACATCCTTTTCACTCAAGTTGTGTGTTCAGGTTGCCGGCATTTCTTCATAAGGACTGAAGAGTCCGCAGTGACCATGCAGTTTCCGCAGATCTTTCAAACACTCGAGTTATTTTGGGAGGGACGCCTGCATGATCAAGGGAGCTGAATCCCTCAATGCTCCCACTGAGCGCTCTCCTGCCACATCCTGCCACCTCCACGAAGCCTCGCCAACGCTACGACTTCTGCTGGCACCATTGATCTGGCTAGTCCAAAGGCTTGATGGCATGCAAATGAGAAACAAGTTTCTAGAGTGTTGACAACCGCACGGTCCACCTGCTCAGTACCAACCAATCATCTCACCTCACCTCGATGGTCGCTCCTGGCACCACTGGCCTGGGCCCCGTCCTGCTTCTATCTCACCAATCTGTCCGAGCGTAGCTTCACCAACCTCGCCAGCTACAGCCAAGCCTCTCATCAATGAAGTTGATCCACAGTCTCAAGACTATCCTCAAGAAGTATCACTCCTCCCAGCCGTACGTAAATTGCAATCCTAATCAACTCTTGGACCAGTATTATGAACCTGTCAATGTTCTTGATGGCCGCCAGATTTCTTCCCCACCAGTCCACACATCGAAGCCAAGTTGCTCCTTTAGAAGCGCTCCAAAGATGCCGCCTGGTATGGAGATAGCAATGACGTTCCTCGGTCATAAAACAACCCTGCTTGCTGCCCATCGACATTAGGCAAGCTTGGCGATGCTGGGATGATGGCATACTGCACATTCCCTCTTCAAGCGCTTCTGGCAATAAGCTGTGCTGGAAGAAGACTTTGCACACTATGCAAGGACAGACCGGGAGGTCAAGAACGGGTTTCACCAGAAAGCTCTTGGAATTCCTGAAACCAAAGGGGTGGGCCATGCTTCGACACGTCCCCTCCATGACCCACACAGCGGCTCGCCAACTGTCATGGCTCCTCCACACGATGCCCTGCAATGTCAAGAAACACGACACAATCAGGCATACCATGTCCCATATTTTTGCATATGCAGTGTTATCCATGAATCAGTGGCTTTTGGCTCAAGGGGCCATTCATGGCCATTTGTTACTTAGCGTGCATTTGCAAAGTCCGCCCTTCATACCGAGCGTCTCGGCAAACCTCGCACACCTCGTCTTCGTGTGTCCAGGTCTTTGTAGTAGCAGTGGCCTATGACCATGTCCTGAGGTGTGACTTCAATCTGAGAGAGCGCCCTGCATGGAATCTCACTTGCAAGATGGCATGTTCAAAGTCCCAATGCCATGAAACGTTGTTTGTGTGTGATTTGTGATTAGGCTTTCTGCCAGAACCCACATGAAGACCGAAACAATAGATATTCGGGGGCCGCTATACCTATTGAATCCACCGGTCTATCAACCCTTAGAGCAGTGCGGAACTTGTCTGTTTGGTGTTCATGAGGCCAGGCCATGGCTCCTTTCCCTTCTGCCTTTGATGGTGGAAGCTGCGACCCATGCCGTGCAGTTGAAGCGAAGCTGCAAAAGGAGTCGACACGAGCCGCCCGCGGATGAATAGCCAAGTGATCCAACTTAAAGGCTCAGACATGAGTTGTTTAAAGACATGTTGGAACAGCTCTGAGCAATGAGCCAAGGAGTGCTGATGGTGACATGTGGGAGTTTCCTGTGGCTCCCTGCCGGCAACACTTCATGGTGGCTTCAATGGATCACTCAGGGCATCTCAGTGTTGTGACTCCAAGGAGCCGGCGAGGCGAATGATGCGACATCATGTGGGTGAACAAGAAGCATACGTGGAGCAGGATGGGTGCACGCAATGAGCGATCATCATGGTATGATTAATGATCATTGTCCCGCTTTTGTGCTGGATTTGAGTCAGGCCCCTGGCACGATGGAAGCTTGGCAAAACTGTATAAACACAATGTGATGCCTTGAGGCCGCTTGAGGCTTGATGCTTTGACCAAATCCCAGGTCAGAATCTTATCCAACAATACGGGGAAAACCGAAGAGCCTCACCAGCACTGCATCTTCCATGCCAGCCATGTGCTGATTGTGACCGTACGCCGTTTCAGTTGGTTTCTGTGCCAACTTAGGAGTTTCTTCGAAGCCTGAAGGAAGAGGCAGCCTCTGCAAACCTTGGTATTGGCCTGGCCTTAATTGGGCCACTGTTGGTGGGCATGACGTTATTCTACCTGGCACCTTGGTGGCCTTGGTATGTTCAGCACAATTGTGACAGCACTTTGCCCTTCCCCACCCTCCCCCCATGGTTTGTGCAGATTGTTTTCTAGTGGTTTCTTTGTCTTTTTTGTGGGGGGGTTCCTTCAAAATTCAATTTTCCAATATTGCAATTGTGCAAACTGTCTGGAAAACACAGTTGCTGACAAAGATTTGGGTGAAGGGACAGTGCGAAACAAACCTCACACAAGTTGTGAGGAGACACTGGCAAAAAGTTGTTGATTCGCACCGCTGCGAGCGACTCCTTTCTGTTCATTTATTGAGTGCATGTAGACAAGCTTGCTATTGGTTGGGATGTGGATTGCCAGGATCCTTTGATCCTTATCGTTGTCTTTGGATGACCGCCCCAAAATGATTTGACACGCCGCAGTTTGCCCCTCAGGTGAACCAGCCCATCAGCAAGGACCATCACTGTTTGGACGAAGATGCGCACAACGTTTCCAATGTTATGAGAGAGGGAGAGGAAACTGCTAGATTTGTAGCACAGCAGCCCCAAACGCCACAATGGGCAAACTGCCTGCCAAGGCAATACTTTTCTGTCTCGCATGTTTCAAGTGCCCTCAAGGACTTGCAGACCAGCACATGGCAATTGCTAAGTGGGAACATTGCACTGTTCAGCACGGTTGCTTGACGATTTAGTTCTTCATTTCATTGCAGCAAGTTCGCAATTTGGTTGCTCAGCTAGGAAACGGAACAGAGAATTGGATGACCACAGAGAGCTGTTCTATGGCCATAGCTTTGCAACTCCTTGACGAGCTCGAAAATTGTTATTTTTCCTTGGATTCCTGGTCTAGCTTCTCCTGTTTCCCGCATGTGTTCTCCTTCCTGGGTTCCGGGTCCCTTCCCGGTGGGTTTCCTACCGCACAGGTTCTCATCTTCATGGCTCTCAAGAAGAGCTGGAAGGTTCTCTTGGGATCTAAGCCGCGACCCGAGAACGGGCAGAGCCAAGTCCCGAGAACGGGCGAGAATTGGCTTTTTTTGCCCGTGGCCCTGCCTCGCTTCTTCAAGGAAGCTCCCCCCGCCTGAGGGTCGGGGGGAGCTTCCTTGAAGAAGCGCTTGCACTAATGATTTGGTCCTAGATTGTTAGGGAAACTTGATAAAAGTACAAGCAGGTACGGACAGGATTCATTGGAAGCAATCCGATTCCCCACGGGCCCTGGAAAAGACATCCGTGCCAGATGTTCTGGAGTTTTTGGATAAGACTCGATCGATTCTTACCTTTGGATCTAAGGGCAGCTGACTTTGCCCTTCTGGGTGATATCTTGGCGTTTATGAAATTCATGCTTCTAATGCTGCCTGGCTTTAACCGCCGTGTCTTTGGCACATGCATATGGAAGTTTGCAAAGTCCTATGCATGCCTCATTAGTCATCTTCCCCTGTTTGGTGTGTCTCTGCTATCCTATGAGTTAGAGTCGCTCATGGAGAGTGAATGTGGGATTGTTTGTGTTTGTATTGTTGCCATTAACTGAGGCTAGGTCTTCCGCTCTTGAGGCTTGCCGGAAAGGAAGTCAGCATGGAGTTTTCAGTTGCGGGGTTGTTCTGACACATGTGACAGTGTTTCTTGGTTTAAGTTATAGTGATGGCCTCCAACCTGATAGCAATGGCCTCCAACCTAATAGCGTATATATATATATATCACACACACACATATATATATATATACACACTCGTATATAATGAGGACACTGTCACAGTTTGGGTACACTGTCACCATTTGAGTGGGCTTGCAGCACATCAGCGTTGAGACGACCAAGACGTCTGAAGCCCTGAAGGTCCAAGTTGGAGACGATGCCATGCGGCCCGAGGACAGTTCCGGTGCTGCGGGTTTGCGGTGCCTATCTCATCGGCTTCGCTGGATCGGACTGTTTCTTTACTGTTTTGGATCGCGTTATCATGAAGACAAACAGGGAGTGGGATTGGAAGGTGTGTCGGAACAAGCTTCACATGGAGAGTGTCGAATCCACTAAGGTTTTGCGAACTTCCTTCGAATGGAGCCCTTCAGCAGATCCTTGGCATGTCAAAAGCATGAGTTTTGTCCAAATGCTTAAGGGTCATAGACTGTTTCCTTTTGCCTGGGTTGTGTTTTGCGTTTGGAGTGGTGTGTGCAAGTGCAAGCAGCGTTAGAAAAATCCCCTACTGTCTTCACGCTGAGATGGTGCTGGCTTCTATCTTCTCGGTATCATCCTTTCATTTGCCGTGCTTGCAGCCTTGCTGGCTGTGGCATTCAGGTTTGGAGCTCAGCTGAACGTTTCTGTTGGTCAGTTTGACGGGCGTGCCTTCCAAGGGTCTCTCAGTACGGACGGAGCGATGCACCATATGAGCCAGACCGTGAGGAGAGCGGTTGGAGAGCTTCCTGTTTACGGTGCCTGTTTGTGCAAGCGCCGTGGCCAGTTCCGTGTTGTGCCGGGCGTGGACAGATTCATGTCATGGCGTGAAGGCTGAACAGATTGATGCAGCTGGATTTCAGATTGGATTCCTCACGTGACTTGACGGCCAAGATCTTTCGGATCATGCAGCAGCTGCGTCCCACTGTCCTCACTTTGATGTGAGAATGGCCTCCCCTTGTCAACTTTTGAGGTCTATGTGGATTCGTTTCCTGGTCACTGGCTTTTTGCCTGGCAGTGGCATACTTAGCAATCTCATGCCCTGCCAC